GTATTAAAAAATTAAGGTTACATTTGATAGGATGACAATTTGTATTATTTTTGTGAATTATTTATACCGTAATAAAAATAAAAAAGATTTTTCAATTGGATTTAAATTAAACTTTTATTAATTTAAAAACTTTAATAACTTATGCTTTTTATGACTAGCATCTGGATAACAAAATGCTTTAATTAAATGCAAACACTACAGTATATCGGTATAGCTATAGCTACAGTATTGTATGGTATTATACCGTACTTATAATCTATATTACAATCTAATGTAATGATTACTTAATCTTAAAATAAATAAATGAACATTAGCAGTGCAAAGTTTGCACTAAAAACAACTAATAAATGTGTTACAAATCTCAGCCAAGTTTTCCATAATTCCTAAAAATATTTCACTCAATAAACAATATACCGGTAATACAATGTCCTAAACTTATTTGCTAAACACTTGTATGAAATGTTTGTTTACCAATTATGCACATAATGATAATATCAGTTATATTAGTTATATTATTATTTACACAATAGAGAATTGAAAAGCAATTGAAATGGATTTACATAACCTATGAGAGAATAATTTCTTATGATATGATTTATCGAGAACTTTATGACATAAACAATATATTCTTTTTATTAACTGTTATTAAAGAATTGTTTTCAATAGAAATTAAAACTTACGGCTATATTCTCAAACAGATTATTCTGAAAATTGATTTTATTTCACAAGCATATCGTGGTTAGGAAAGTGTGTGCATGGGTATTTACAAAACTATTGTAATTGTAATTATATGTTTGAGTACAGGCGAAACAAATACCTGTAACATTTTGACAATCTCTACAAAAATTAACTGCAAATGATTGAAAACGGATTTAGATTTTAATACATGATAAGAAACCCCTATTAAACAAAAGTCTCATGATTTCACTGTCATAATATCAATATTGATTAACACATTTCAAATTCTCATACAATTTTTTATATAAATTAGCAGACAATTAATTTTAATGATGCTATCAATTGTAAAACAATACAATACACAAAATGAGAGCACCGATAGTTTTGTTAAGCGTACTGATCGGGTCAGCCCTGTCCATACCGTTGGGTCAACTGTTTGATCCTTTCGGTGCCTTTCTTCAGGGAGAGATTCTGAACACGAATCAGGATTTCCATGAATCGTCTGATTATTTTTCATCGATGAGTGAGACATTTGCCGTAAGTTTTTGTTCCGTAGAGAGAGAGAGAGAGAGAGAGAGAGAGATTTGGTTAAAAACTAACGAATCGCTTATCACTTACTCCCGAAGGCCGCCCTCGAAGATGAAGAAGTGTTGGCCAAGAAATTCGCCGAATTTCAGACCAAATTCCAGAAGTCATACGCGACTGAAGAGGAATCAGAGAAGAGAATACTGATATTCAAAGAGAATGCGCTGAAAGTATTTGAGCACAACGTGAAGGCCGCGACCGGCCGTTCCTCTTATACTCAGCACATCAGTCAATTCGCTGACATGACTACGGACGAGATCATCGCTGGTGTGACCGGATATTTCCCGCAACAAGAGTACCGTCAACACAATGCCAGCCAACAGAATGCGGCCAACAGTCAAAGCCGTGTAGGAAAGGACAGTTGGATCTACGACTGGAGGTCTACACACGTGGTCACTCCTGTCCAGAATCAGGTACAGACAGACTGAGAGTTTAAAAAACTCAATGAAAACTTAAATTTAAACGTAGACAAGTAATCCTTACCTCCCGTTCCCCGCCAATCACAGGGTGGTTGTGGTGCGTGTGTATACTTTGCGGCGGCGGCCCTAATCGAGACGGCGTGGGCCCGACACGGACACGAGGCCGTCGTACTCAGCCCTCAGCAGCTCAACGACTGCGCCCACGACGAGGCACGCGGTAACCACGGGTGCGAACACGGGGGCGGCACCTTTGTGCCCACTTTCGACTATATCAAGGCCCATGGTTTAACCAGCATGCAAAATTATCCGTATATTGCCAAGGTGAGTGCTCACAAACTCCTATCTAATAATTACGAATCAAGTCCTATACCATTACCTGTGAATAGGACGCCAATTGCGACCACAATAAGGAGTCTCAAGTGGTGGCCCGGATCAACAGCTGGACACCGATCACCCCACACGGCAATGAGGAGGTACTGAGGCAGACCATCGAGAAGAACGGACCGGCGGCTGTGGCCATACACGTGAGCGACGGCTGGACCAAATATAAACAGGGTGTTTTCGATGAGCCCTGCGCTGGTGGGCGCAATCACGCCGTGTTGGCTGTGGGTTATGGCTATGACGGCCCCTCCAATAAGGACTACTGGATCGTGAAGAATCAATGGGGAACGGGATTCGGTGATAACGGGTATATACTTATGAGGCGTAATAATAACAATATGTGTGATATCGCCGGCGACGCCGTTTGGGTCGACTAAATGTGTCGAGAATTTTGAGTAAATTAATGCTGTTTTAAAGTTAAATAAAATCATGTTTAACCAAATTTAAACACAATTCATATTGAGTTAAGTTTCTTATTTTGAATACAGTATCAGTTGATTAATAATTTACAAAAGTGAAGACAATCACCTTATTGTCAACAAAACTACAAATACTACCCATAATTGTGTATAAATTGATTTAATTGTTGCAAACATTTTCCAACGGTTAGAGACGCGTTAAAAGTCTTACAATAAAATACAAATTGTACTAAAAATGAATAAAATAAAGTGAATGTGAATTGAATTATTATTACGCGAGACTTGAATTGAACACTAAATTAAAAAAAACAGAGTTTTACAAAAAGTATTGAAAATCTAAAATTAGATTTAGTTCTCAATTATAAATCATTATTCATTAGATATCTATTAGTTGTCAAAGTGTTGGAGTATATAAGCAATGCTCAAAGTCTTAGCGATACTCCTTTGCATCGCTTATATCGAATGCACACCATTTGATTGTCTACTAATACGGGACAGCAATCTCACATATTATGGCGTTGACCTGGATCACCAGTTTATCGCTCGGTCACGTGACCACTACGACCACTATTATAAGGTGTATGCGAGGAATGTGGCGGCGGGTCAGGCGTGGAATGTCACTATAGAGGACAATGTTAACGGAGGACTTGAGGTATATTCGGTGGACGAGAGTTATGGTCGCAACGATTCAAACAATGCAAGCAATCCACCCATTCATCGATTTTCCAGTCTATTTAAATTCTGGAAAATATTAGATCTGGGATTATTGGTTAGGTCATATTCCTGTCAAACCTATTATACGGTAAGCATATTGTGTTCAATACATGTATTCATATATCCTGTCATTCATTGCATTCCCAATGTATGCAAAGAATTCACAAAACACTGGAATCCAAATTGAGTGTAGATTTCACGATAATGGCGATGAGTTTGGAGCAGTGTATTCACCAAACAAAGGACGGGAAGTCATATTCAGACGATATCCTCAAGGAATATACGCTCCCTATCATCTCATTTTCAATACAAATGACCGGTCGATGCGAATCGTGGAGGTATGTAAGCACCGGGATATTTGTGATTCCATGAATGTGTCGGAAGTACTAAATTGTGATGAAAAGTCTTGTCCGAAATTTATCGATCAAATACCCGACCATTTGCTCAAACAGTTGGAGGGTATCGTTGACTACAATGTGAGCTCACAATCGGGTTATATGTTGTGGTTCAACATCAGTGGAAAACCTTTCTATTGTTTTACACCGATAGACCAACTATCCCAACAGGTATTCACAATAAAGTGATCAATGATTTTGAAAACAATGTTTTAATTTTAGTGCCAATCGGACAATAATATGATTCCCTATGAAAAGCAATGCTTTAATCCCATTGAGACCACAACTGAATTTCCGACACATTTAGTGATAGTATCCGTGGTTTTGGTGATAATAGGAGTGATTCTTGTGGTCGCAGTTGTGGTCATGTGTTGTATAAGACGTCGACGAAAGCAATCGCTGTCTATAATGCAAACGCATTCACAAATTGATGGCAAAAGTGGTGTATTTTCAACCAATTTCTAAAACTTCTAAAACATTAGTTTTTAATATTATTTCAAATTATTTTGATTTATTTCTTATTTATTAGCATTTATTTTGAATATTTAATATAAATTTTTATTAACTAATGGTTAATAATTAATTTTTGTTTTACTTCTTGTTATTTTATATTTCAATAAATATCTTTATAAGTAAATCAGACATATCAAGCAGAATCAGTGTAAGCACTGTACTTGTATCTCTCGAATACAAAAATAATTGTATTTGAATTCAGAAGTCAATGCATTGAATGTGCAATTTTAATAAGTTTATTTAATCAATAGTAACTGGGTTCTCTAAACCTTTTTGCACATCATAAATTAATTTTCTAATACAGTATATTCTATTGCAGTCAGTTCAAAAAGTGAGTAGCATGAACCATTAGTAATGTTATAAGTATTACAAAATGTAACTATTTGTAACCCATGGACCGCACTTTTCTAGAGATTTCAAATATAAACATGATTTACACAATCAATTCATATCTCATTAGATAATTAAATTACTACGTAATTGGTTCAGGTATCTGATTGATGAGCCCTGGTTTCTGTGGACACTCGGGTCGTGAACTAACTTCTGTATGCAATACAGCCCAACCATCCCTTCCATCCCATGTTATTTTCAACACTTGTATCGATCGATTAGTTGTGTCCAAAACCATGACATGACTGTGAACTGAGCGCTGAGTTTAAATCTCCGGACAAATATTGGACTGAATATGACAGCCTTTCCGTTGATTGTTGTTTGGCTGTCAATATAATCGTTGCCGTAATCGATATGACATTTGGTTTCAGTGATGTCTACTTTGCAATTATATACGTATAGTTGCCCTTTGGATACGAGACCTGAAAATTGATTGATGGGATGACCGATATTTGAGGGTTTTGTTGGTTTATTAGTCGACACACTGAGGGTTGGGTTAACATCGATAGTGAACTCCCACTCCATTCCCATTGAATACATTTTATACACTGAATATCCAGATCTTATTGAAGATCCAGATCTAGACCACTTCCAATCCCATTGGCGTTGCATTTGAATGCCATTATATGTGCCATTGGTTTGCATGTATTCACACTTGGATTGGCATTCAACATAAGGAATGCATAAAATGATGGCTAAAATTATGATCATTTTGTATGAATTAAAGGTCTTTATTCAAGAATCTTTGATATTTAAAATTATAGCAATTTATTAACGGTTTTTGACTAAAATATGCTTAAAATTGTCATTAAATTAATGATTAATAAATGTCTCGCATAACAATTATAACTAAACTTATGATTTCTTCATTCAATATGTAATATTATATAGAAAATAATGTTTTCAAAACATTATATGAAACACGTGAAGAATTTAAATTAAAATGTAATAATTTATTACTAATAAATAAAAAGTTTTATTATATAATATTTTCAATTATCTCTAATTAAGTTCTCATTGTTCACCAAAATGAGAGGTGGGAACCGTTAGACTAATTGTCATAATTTGAGATGTTTTTTCAATAACTTATTTTTATATCAGATAAATGGATGGAAAGTATTAGAAATCATTGAAAAGACAAATTGCGTTTAAAAGGTCGCGTCCGGGGCTTGAACCCATTTTTAGTCATTGCTTTACATTAACATAGGATATACTTCTCACCTTAAATAGGGTTATCAATAAATACAATACAATATATCAAGGCATAGCTTTTAATTGAATAATAATTGATAATATAGATGAAAAATAGACAAAGGTTGTAGGTATATAAAAATAGATACAAAAAATACATTTAAATTTCAAAAACTATTGTTTTCCCACTCAACAGCAGACAAAATTCATAATTACATTTGAATTTAAATATTAATTAAAGTTTTTTAATCTGTTAAATGAGTGTTTAATAATCATACAATACTGTCAAATAATATTGACTAAAATGTAAAGAAAATAATAAAATACAAAATAATGAATATATTAATAAAATATAAATTAATTTCTATTTATTTGTGTTATTATTCTTTACATTCTTCACAGTCTTTCCCAATGAAGACAAAGATATTTCTCGGGTTTTCTTTGTGGTCGTCGTATTGATTGTCGAGAAAGCGATTGTGTTTTCATTAGTGCTATAATCGAAATACTTTATTATCGCTAATCTATATCTCTTGTAACACATGACCACAACTGCGACCACAAGAATCACTCCTATTATCACCAAAACCACGAATACTATCAATAATTTTATCGGGAATTTAGTCGTGTTTTGTGGAGAAGAACTCAAAAAAGTTTCAGGAGTTAAAGAAGTTGTGGTTTCCATGGATTCGAAGCAATGCTTTTCAAATGCCGTCATATTCTCAGATGATTTGCACTAAAAATTAATTTCAATTTGATTTTAAATCATTAAAATTATAACTCCATATTCTTTATACTTACCATTAGAGAGAGTCCTTGGTGTTGGGGTGTAAAGCAATACATAGGCCGCCCACTGATGTTAAACCACAACAGATGTCCAGAATGTATGACTTTCTCCAATGTCTCGATTTCGTAATCAACGATACCTTCCAAATATGGGAACAAATGATCGGGTATTTCATTGACAAATACCGGTCTCTGACACACATCTGACGGGCAATTAATTTCGTCCAACAGTTGTATTGATCCCGTATTTCCGTCGTATGTAATCCCCAACACTCGCACCGATCGGTCTTTTGTGTCCAAAACCAGTTGATAGCTATCGCGAGACTTAGTGTTTAGATAATTGACAATCTTTTTGCTAAATATTACTGCCATTGGATTGTATTGTAAATTATTGTTTGTAAAGGTTTTGTCGTATCGATGGATATAACACTCAGTTTTGACTGAAGAGTTTTGCGGATCCTATCATACATTGAATGCAATGAATATATGAATCCATGTATTGATACACAATATGCTTACCGGAGTGAGGACTTCACAGTAATAGGAGGCGTGTCCATCATCAGGGTTGTTGTGATTTTTTGCGGATCCTATAATACATTGAATGCAATGAATATATGAATCCATGTATTGATACACAATATGCTTACCGGAGTGAGGACTTCACAGTAATAGGAGGCGTGTCCATCTTCAGGGTTGTTGTGATTGAATAGTCCAGAAAACATATTAATCGGAGGATTGCTTACATTGTTTGCAGATATGGGCTTAACAACTAAGTTATTCAATGATACGATAAGTGGTTGGTTTCCAACTTTCCTTACACTGAATTCCCACTCCATTCCCTTTGAATACATCTTATAGTTTGAGCGATAGTGACGATCACCAGTAGATATGTCTTTGAAATAGGCCCAGTGGTGGTGTATCTGAATACCACTATATTTGCCATTGGTTTGCATGTATTCACACATTGACTGACACTCAATGTATGAAATACCCAAAATGATAACTAAAATCTTTATCATTTCCATTAAACTGATTCTTAATCTGTTTCTAAGTATTGATAAACTATTGATTCGATCGTTAATCTGTTAAAACTCTTGACTTTTAGATGAAATTAATGTTAACTTTTGGTGTTATAAAACTGTTAAATAAATTACAATTTCAAAACTGAAAGCCAACAAAACACTACTACTTGTGTCTCTCGAATACAACAATAATTGTATTTGAGTTCAGAAATCAATGCATTGAATGTGCGGTTAAAATAA